CAAGGTATATCTATTGTGAATGGTGCTGTGTAAACGTGAATGTACATATATCACCGTAATACTGTGTGTTTAACTCTTTAGGAGGAGACCTAGGAAGGTAATAGCTGGGTCAAATAGCATTTGTTTAAGTTTTTTGTGGAATCTCCATGTTGATTTCTGTAATGATTATACTAGTTTATATTCCCACAAACAATGTAAAAGGGTTCCTTTTTCCCTGCAGTCTTGTTACCTGAGTTTTTCATGATGACTATTCTTTCTGGAGTAAGACTGATTAAATCTTGTGTTTTAATTTACATATTTTTTTTTACAAGCCAGCGATGTTGAGCACTTTCTCATTCACCATTTGTATTTCTTCCAAGAAGTGTCTTGACTTTAGTTGCCCATTTTATGACTGGGCCTTTTATTTTGGGGGCCCTAATTTTTTTGAGTTCTTTATATATTGTAGAGTTTAGTCTTGTATCTTGGGAATAGCTGGCAAAAATTTTCCCATTCTGTAGGTTGGCTGTTTCCTTTGTGTGCAGAAGCTTTTTTTTTTTTAATTGAGAAATAAATATGAATGAGACAGTTTCACAGCTGATTAATAGGACAGTTTTGATAATCAATACATTGTACATTGTTATCTTCTTAGTGGTTATCCATAGTACAAGAAGTAGATAGGATATTCTGTCCAAATACTGTTAGTACACCTCTTTCTTCTCATTGAATTAAGTGAAAGTAGCTGTAAATTTATCCTATTTTGTATATATAAATACAAAATGATCTTTCCTTTGTATTCTTTTGCAGAAGCTTTTTAATTTGATATGATCCCTTTCATTTCTTACGCAGCTGAGTTTCTCTTCAGAAAGTCTTGCCTTTGCCTATGTCATCATGTTTTACCTATTTTTATCTTCTAGGAAATTAAGTTTCCGTTTAAATGTTTAGATCTTTGATCTATTTTGATTGTAGTTCAGTACATGGTGAGAGATTTGGCTCTTCTGCATGTACACAGCCAGTTTTCACAGCACCATTTGTTAAAGGAGACTGTCTTCATTCTAGTGTTAAGTTTTTGGCTGTTTTGTCAAAGATCAGGCAGCTCTGCTTGGAGTTTCTACAACCTGCATTCTATTCTATTAATCTACATGTCTGATTTTTTGCCAATACCATGCTGTTTTTATCACTGGAACTTTGTAGTATAACTTGAAGTCTGGTTTTGTTATACATCCTGCCTTGATCATGCTTAGCAGTATTGGTTTTGCTTTTCTAGATTTCGCCTAGTTCCATATGATTTTAGGGTTGTTTTTTCTAGTTCTGTGAGAACTGTTGATGTTTTGGAATTACATGAAGGTTTTTTTGTTTGTTTGTTTTTTTAGGGAAGGGTCTGCATGGTGTTCAGCATCTCACTACTAGATCAAACTCATAGTGATCTGCCTGTTTACAGCCTCCCAAGGGCTGGAATTACAGGCATGTGCCACCACACCCAGTCTCAATTGCCATCTCAGTGTGCCCCAGGGGCAGGGCCAGCAAGGCAGGCCCAGGGATCAAACCCTCTGCCTCTGCGCCTGCAATTTACATGAAATCTGTGTATCAATTTTGGAACTGTGGCCATTTTGACTATATTGGTTCTGTGTATCCAGGTGTAAGGGTTACTTTTCTTTCTTTCTTTCTTTCTTTTTTTTTTTTT